TGAGGCGTTTCTCTCCACCCCCCCCCCCCCCAATCCCCGCACGTGCAATGGGAGAGTCAATGGGGGTTTTAGGCCCTACAACCACATCGCTTGAGACCCTTCAAATATGACCGGACCTTGGCCAATAGAGTGTAGAAAATGATCTGCCCTGGATCTCCAGTGAGGGAATAGACAGGAGCCAACAGAGCGCTTTAATCTCTAACCCATATAACTCTCAGCTTCATTCTGTGTAATGTGTGTGCCTGGTTCTCCCTTCCCCACCCTCGCTGGCTCTCCTGCGCTTTTATATTATACTGATGTTGAGAACTCAAGTTCAGGCTGAACCTTATCCCGGCTTCTCCTGGGGGTTAGGCCTTTCTATAGGCTTTCCCTTGAACTAGTTCTCTTAATAAGCATTTGTTCTGTGGCAGTGCCTGGAGGCCTCCATTGGGGCCACGAAGTGCACAGTGCTGTACATAGAGACATGGACATGGTCCTTGCCCTGAGAACTCACAATATAAAGAATCATTTCTCTATTAATCCCTATGAAATACACTGCCGACTGGAATGTTGCAGACCCTGGACTGTGGTATTGGACACGGTGATTTTTATGTTTATTTAAATCTGAGACAGTTGACACATGGGCGAGTGGATTTAATGGTAACAATTGACCCTTCATGACAGCTGCCAAGTTAAACCTGTCTGGTACGGGAGCTCAGAGAAAGCTGAGGAAGGACGCCAACCTTGGGCTGTTGAGCTGCCCCAGGGACCAGAGGCACAGATTCCTCTTTTCTCTGATTTTTAAGAGACAGTTGGAGTTGATAAAGCTAATTTAAGATGCGCCTTGCAGAACTGCTGCCTTTGTACTCTGCATGCATCAGCCCAGAGCCATAACATGTTGTGCTGAGGAGCCAACTACTTTGCTTCAGCTAGAAGAAAAATAAGAGTATTCTGATTTCTTAGAGGTGCCTGGTTGTCTGTGTTAGTCAAGAGGGCATGATCTACAGAGACATGGAGAGCTAACATCCTATGGCTGAAACCTTCTCCACGTCCCAAAATGCCAATATCCAACCTCCCTCCTTCATACTTCCTTCCTCCACATGGCTCAGGAAGGCCCTGTTAGTACAAACTGCTACCATAAGTGTTTAAAAAAACTCCAGGTTAGCATCATCCACTGGCTCTGCCAGTGCATCTGGTTATGGCTATTTATTTTTGTATATCCCATGGGGCAGGGATTCTGGCATCTACAGAGTCTTGAATGCAGTCAGCACTTAATAAATAACAAGAATCTACTCTTTTAGATAGCTGTACAAGCCAGCTGTCCCCATCCCCAAGAACCCCTCCCCACATAACTCAAGTGTATAAAATGGGACAGTGCTGCTCACTGCAAAATATGCGAAGGCAGACTCATCACAGCTATAGTACAATGAGGGGACTGTCGCTCAAATAGTATTTTCTTGCAAGAACTCCAACATTTACACTTCCTTTGGGCTTCCCAGCCTGCTTGCCAATGGTTTTCAGTTGGTTCAAAACCAAGCATCAAATTGGGGAGAAGGGGAATAGCAGTACTCTGCCATGTTCTGCCCACAATAAACTCCACCTGTCAAGCAGAGATACTGAGCCCAGTATTCTGCAACTCAGGCACATATTACTGCACTGCTGTGCACATGGGTCACATTTTCAAGGACTTCTCTGCAGGCATAACAGCTTCCAAGTTACTTTTGCTTATTACTCTTTCTTGAGAATGGAAGAACAAGAAAGGCACTTGGAAGCAGTGTGTCAATATGCTACACTGCTGCTCACCAGCTCAATCCTAGGTCAGGGCTGAGACCTGAGATGCCTGTACTTCTAATTGCTTTTCATATAATCCCACCTATGCTAACACTTTCTTGCAAGAGGGTTTTCAATGTCTTTTTAAATCTAAGTTTGTTATCCTACTATTTAAGCGCTTTTATATATACAAACTTCTACTGAAACAACAAAAGGTGTGAATTAAATCCAGTGTAGTTATTTTGGTGCAGACTTGCAAAGAGATCCGTCTGAGGGCTCTTTGCACCCTGGTACCATACCACCAATCCACTCTGAAGCTTTTCTGTTCTTGCCAGATCAGCTGCCTTCTGAAGAGAAAAGCCCCAAAGAGTTTCAAACTCTAGTCGCTGGCAATGTATTGTGACAGTCTCATTTTGCTTTTTAACACACTGGAGAGTGAAATCTCCTGAGCGAGGAAGTGGTGGCTGTTAGGCTGAGTCAGGGCTACAGATAGAAGAGCGTGGGAAATTAACTCTCTGGTAATCAGAAATAACAATCCCTGACAACACGAGGAGCCAAACTCTGTTGTCAGTGTGCTGGTGTGAAGGAATAACCAGGACAGTTATGTTCTCTCTCTAACCCAGGGAGTCTTGGCAAAGCTGCAGTTCTGGTGGGTAGGGCAGATTTGGGCACCTGAAGGTAGCATGATCCAAAATGGGACACTAGTAACAGCTCTGCACAGTGGGATTCATGTCAGGGTTCAGAATTCTCTTGTCCTCCCAGGAAATAGACATGGCCCCCCAGTGTGGCAACTAAGGCTTCCCATGACAGGGGAGATTAAATCCTTATCCTCCTGAGTCTTTGCACAAGGGAGCAAACACGATCCACTTATGCTCTGAGAGGAGCAAGAGGCCCCTGTGATGAGCTGGAATTCCTCAGTGCTGAGCTGCATCTGGCTGCTTTGTGGGCTCATGTTCCCAGGGTGTGTGCACCAGGCGCTGGAATGCGGCTCCAGCAGACACGCATTCTTGTCAATAACAGACCAGGGCAGAGCCTGCTTCTCTGTTCCATCTCAGCCTTCCCAAGATTGAGGGACAAACCAGGAAAGCACTTCCCAGCCCAAGCCTCCACCTTCACAAGGACATGAGGGAGGTGGTGATGAGGAATCATTTGTCAGCAACCCAGCAAGGCTTACATGTTGTCTGAACCCATCCAACATATCCCTGCTGAGCTCATGGACATGACAAGCCATCCCATTTCTGGTGTCACAGCCCTAGTCAAGCTCCGCTTTCTGAACACTCACCAAGGCTGTTGTGTTTGGATCCCAACACACTGGGCCCATTGCACTTTAAGCCCTTTGGTCTTTGGCCTCTCTGGCACACTTCCCAGGCACAGCTTGTCTGTTACATCTTCATAGAGACAGCAGCTCACCACACAGCTGCCCTAGGACCCAAGATCAGTGCTAACCACCTCCAAGACTGCCTGATAGCTTAGGGACATCTTTGTCCAGAGCTCCAACCCCATGATTCAGTAGTGGGCAACCGGAGGCCTACTCGGGTTCTGTGTGTGGCTTGTGAGGCATTTTGTTTACTGTTGCCCATGTGCCGGGTTGCCAGAGTCCACTGGTTTCCAGCCACGTAGTTTTCTTCCTCCTGGTATTACTAAAACAACATGCACTTACAGAAAGGGTACCTGAGGTGAAGTGTATGCTCATTGCAACAACACTGACTGTGAGAGCTGTGCACTCCCTCTGCATCCAATCAAAGCCTTGCTAGGTTCAATTGCCATACCTTGCAAATTCTAGGACTCAAGCACAGTGAGCAAAACTACTCTACCTTGGGAACCCATTTTGGTTATATCAATCTCGCAGCCCACTGAGGTGAAGGAGGGCGACTCATGTGGCCCACTCGCAAGCCTAAGCTGCACCAGACTAACACGGCTACATTTCTACCACATCACTGCGTATAGGCACTTGAGTTACAGTCCAACTCCAGAGGAGTACGTGATTGCCGAAGCCCATAATACAGGGGGTTTGTAAAAGTTTCTAACACAATCACATTAGTGAGCCCAAGAGAGATACAGACTGAGGTAAAAATAACACCACATCTACATGCTGTTCCCTGCCTCAGCTTCCTTACCCCTTGGGAGTGTTCTTTGGGATTTGGTTGGACTCCAGGATTCCCTTCCTGCACATGCCTCTCCTTCAAATCACAGAATGTTTCTTCGCTGCAAGTAGCTTTCTTCTTCACCAGCTGGCCCCAGGGCAGGCATGATTATTTGCAGGGCTTAGTTATAATAGGATGGTGGGGCCTGGGCCACCAATAGCTTCACAGTGGACCGGGGACTCTGGCTCTGCCCAGGTGGGGCTGCAGCAGCTGCTCTCTCAGCAGCATGAAGAGCTCCTGGGCTGACAGCATGAGGAGCCAGATCGCCAGAGGCACTGGCATCCAAAACAGGCTCCTCCTCTTCTCCCGCAGACCCCACTGGGCCCATGCACAGCCTGCTGCTTCAGGCAGTGCCTCAGGTAGGACATGCCACCCAGGCAGGTGGGACCAATAATAAAGCACGGGGCCACATGCAGGGGGGACTGACTGCACATGCCTCACACCAGCCATGGCTGGCCCCACAGTCAAAAAGGAGCTCTCTGCTATAAAAGTATGCCAGCCCCTTCATTCTCTCCCCTGCCTGAAACTTCTTGTCTTTATATCAGCACTCCCTTGATAAACTTGGTTAAACAGGTTTTCCAGCTCAGGAACCCTCCTCAGCATACCTCTGATATGATGCCTGCACAGTCATTAAGGTTAATGACTTATTTTGTTTGGATTGTGGCTG